GATCTCCTGACCTCGTGATCCGCCCGTCTCGGCCTCCCAAAGTGCTGGGATTACAGGCTTGAGCCACCGCGCCCGGCCTTTTTTTTTTTTTTTTTGATGCAGGGTCTGGCTCTGTCACTCAGGCTGGAGTTCAGTGGCGTAATCACAGCTCACTGCAGCCTTGACCTCCTGGGCTCAAGCCATCCTCCCACCTCAATCTCCCAAGTAGGTGGAACTACACGTATGTGCCAACACACTGGCCTACTTTTTTGTATTGTTTGTAGAGACAGGGTTTCACCACGTTGCCCAGGTTGGTCTCAAACTCCTGGGCTCAGTGCTCCGCCCACCTCAGCCTTCCAAAGTGCTGGGATTACAGGCATGAGTCACCACGCCTGGCTATCTGTAACATCTTAAACACTATTTAGCATGTTCCCACCCCAGGGCCTTTGCACCTGCTGTTCCCTCTGCCTGGAATGCCTACACACAGTAGGTCCTCAATAAATGCTTGTTGAATAAATAAAGCAAAAGCAAATGATGGTCATGTCAGTGAGTGTTAAGTGCTAGGAAGAAAATAAAATAGGGCCACATGCGGTGGCTCATGCCTGTAATTCCAGCATTTTGGGAGGCCGTGGCGAGCGGATCACCTGAGGTCAGGAGTTTGAAACCAGCCTGGCCAGCATGGTGAAACCTCATCTCTACTAAAAATACAAAATTAGCCAGGTGTGGTAGTGGGCATCTGTAATCCCAGCGACTCCAGAGGCTGAGGCTGGAGAATTGCTTAAACCTGGGCGCTGGAGTTTGCAGTGAGCCGAGATCACGCCTTTGCACTCCAGCCTGGGCAACAAAAGTGAAACCCCGTCTAACAAAAAGAAAAGAAAAGAACTAAAAAAATTACAGGCATGGTGACTCATGCTTGTAATCCCAGCACTTTGGGAGGCCGAGGCGGGCGGATCACCTGAGGTCAGGAGTTTTTTGTTTGTTTGTTTGTTTGTTTGTTTGTTTGAGACAGAGTCTTGTTCTGTCACCCAGGCTGGAGTGCAATCTACTCACCGCAACCTCCACCTCCTGAGTTCAAGAGATTCTCCTGCCTCAGCCTCCCGAGTAGCTGGCATTACAGGCAGGTGCCACCAAGTCTGGCTAATTTTTGTATTTGTAGTAGAGACGGGGTTTTCACCATGTTGGTCAGTCTGGTGTCAAACTCCCAGTCTCAAGTGATCCACTCGCCTTGGCCTCCCAAAGTGCTGGGATTACGGGCATGAGCCACTGTGCCCAGCCAAGGTCAAGAGTTTGAAACCAGCCTGGCCAGCATGGTGAAACCCTCTCTCTACCAAAAATACAAAATTAGGCCATGTGCTTAATTTTGGGATTATGCCTATAATTCCAGCACTTTGGGAGGCCAAGGCGGGTGGATCATGAAGTCAGGAGTTCAAGACCAGCCTGGCCAACGTGGTGAAACCCTGTCTGTACTAAAAATACAAAAATTAGCCGGGCGTGGTGGCATGCGCCTGTAGTCCCAGCTACTTGGGAGGCTGAGGCAGGAGAATTGCTTCAACCTGGGAGGCTGAGGTTGCAGTGAGCCAAGATCGTGCCACTGCACTCCAGCCTGGGCAACAGAGTGAGACTCTGTCTCAAAAAAAAAACTTAGCTGGGTGTGGTGGTGGGCGCCTGTAATCACAGCTAGCCTGGAGGCTGAGGTTGGAGAATTGCTTGAACCCGGGAGGTGGAGGTTGCAGTGAGCCAAGATCGTGCCTTTGCACTCCAGCCTGGGCAACAGGAGCGAAACTCCATCCCCCACCCCCCCCAAAAAAAGGTGGCATTTGTCCCCTGGACAGAACTGCTGCCGCTGTCACCATCTCTGACTAATATTGCCCAGGTCTTACCACCGCCACCAGGCCTTGGGGAAGCCGCAGCGCAGCTGCAGCCAACAGGCCAGCCAGACCCCCACCCGTGCTGCCCCACAGCCCCTGCAGATGGGGCCCTGCGCCTACAAGATCAGGCAGTTCCTGGACTGTCCGACCACTGAGAATGACCTGTCCATGTGTGAGGGCTTCACTGAGGCCCCGAAGCAGTGCAAGTACAACCATGGTCTGAGCTCCCTGCCCTGAAGATGTCGGTGCAGACTCGGGGGCCAGGCCTGCACCCACCTCTACCCCTCGCCCACAGCCGGACCACAACACCAGATTGTACCTGGATAGCTGGGATTGGAAGTGAGGAGGAGGTTTCTCACCCCACAGATAACCCAAGACACAAATGTGCAATTAAAAGAGTTTATTTTAGACCACAAAAACAAACGAAAACAAAACAAACAAACAAACAAAAAACAAAGAAAAAAAGAAAAGAAAATAATGCCAGGTGCTGTAGCTCATGCCCATAATCCCAGCACTTTGGAATGCTGAGGTGAGCGGATCACCTGAGGTCAGGAGTTTGAAATCAGCCTGGCTGCATGGCGAAACCCCATCTCTACTAAAAATACAAAATTAGCCAGGCGTGGTGGTGGGTGCCTGTAATCCCAGCTACTTGGGAGGCTGAGGCAGGAGAATTGCTTGAACCCGGGAAGTGGAAGATGCAGTGAGCCAAGATCACACCATTGCACTCCAGTCCAGCCTAGGCAACAAAAGTGAAACTCCGTCTCAAAAAAAAAAAAAAAAAAAAGAAAAGAAAAAGAAATAGGCGGGCGCGGTGGCTCATGCCTGTAATCCCAGCACTTTGGGAGGCCGAGGCAGGCGGATCACCAGACCAGGAGATCGAGACCGTCCTGGCTAACACTGTGAAACCCCGTCTCTACTAAAAATACAAAAAATTAGCTGGGCGTGGTGGCAGGCGCCTGTAGTTCCAGCTGCTCAGGAGGCTGAGGCAGGAGAATGGGGTGAACCTGGGAGGCGGAGCTTGCAGTGAGCTGAGATTGTGACACTGCACTCCAGCCTGGGCGACAGAACCAGACTCCGTCTCAAAAGAAAAAAAAAAAAAGAGAAGGAAATAAAATAGGGCCAGGTATGATGACTCATGCCTGTAATCCCAGCCCTTTGGAAGGCCAAGGCAGGAGGCTCACTTGGGGCCAGGAGTTTGAGATGAGTCTGGGCAACATAGTGAGACCCCATCTGTAAAAATAAGTAAATAAATACATGTATACCCTGGTGTGGTGGTATGTGTCTATAGTCCTGGCCACTCTGGAGGCGGAGGTGGGAGGATTCTTTGAGCCCAGGCGACTGAGGCTGCAGTGAGCTATGGGCATGCCACTGCACTCCAGCCTGGGCAACAGAGTGAGACCCTGTCTCAAAAAATAAAGTCTAATGTGTGCTCGTGTGCTGGGCACTGTTAGAATCATTTGATATCTGCAAACTTCTGGAATCCTCACAATAATCCTATAGAGTAGGTGCTATTAATGGCTTTTTGACAGATAAAGAAACTGAGGCACAGAGAGGTTAAGTAATTCACCCAAGGTCAAGTAGCATGGGAGTCAAGGGGCCAGGATTGGAACTCAGGCAGTGATTGAAGACCACAATCATATCTTTTTGATTGTTTGTTTTTGAGACAGAGTCTGGCTCTGTCGCCCAGGCTGGAGTGCAGTGGCGCGATCTCGGCTCACTGCAAGCTCCGCCTCCTGGGTTCACGCCATTCTCCGGCCTCAGCCTCCCGAGTAGCTGGGACTACAGGTGCCCACCACCATGCCTGGCTAATTTTTTTGTATTTTTAGTAGAGACAGGGTTTCACCATGTTAGCCAGGATGGTCTCGATCTCCTGACTTCATGATCCACCTGCCTCGGCCTCCCAAAGTGATGGGATTATAGACGTGAGCCACAGCGCCTGGCCCACAATCACATCTTTTTTTTTTTTTTTTTTTTTGAGGCAGAGTTTCGCTCTTGTCGCCCAGGCTGGAGTACAGTGGCGCGGTCTTGGCTCACTGCAACCTCTGCCTCCCAGGTTCAAGCGCTTCTCCCACGTCAGCCTTCCGAGTAGCTGGGATTACAGGCGTACACCACCACACTCAGTACACTGGGTACACACTCACACCCAGTGAGATGGAGTCTTGCACTGTTGCCCAGGCTGGAGTGCAATAGCCCGATCTCGGCTCACTGCAACCTCTGCCTCCCAGGTTCAAGAGATTCTCCTTGTCTCAGCCTCTCAAGTAGCTGGGATTGCAGGCGCTCGCAACCACGCCTGGCTATTTTTTTTTGTATATTTATTAGAGACAGGGTTTCACCATGTTGGCCAGGCTGGTCTTGAACTCCTGACCTCATGATACACCCGCCTCAGCCTCCCAAAGTGCTGGGATTACAGGCATGAGCCACTGCGCCCGGCCCATGGTCACATCTGATCCTCCTCAATATCCGGATCTGAGGATCCTGTTTGTTGATAGCTCTCAAATCTTGGGGCCCAAATTAAAGTGGTCCTTCCAGCAGGAAACACAAGATGACTTTCACCTCCTTTTTTCCTCAGGGAGGCTATTACCTAACAGAGACCAACAAAGGAATGACCTGGAAGAACCTGCTTAAATGCAAATTCTCAACCTCTGTGGTCAGAGATTCTGACAAAACAGGTCTGGAATGGACCTAGAAATGTGTGGGTTTTCTTTTACCAGGAACCCCTGGTAATTTAAAATTATGTAGTCCTTGGCCGGGCACAGTGGCTCACGCCTGTAATCCCAGCACTTTAGGAAGCCATGGCGGGTGGATCACCTGAGGTCGGGAGTTCGAGACCAGCCTGACTGACATAGAGAAACCCTGTCTCTACTAAAAATACAAAAGTACAAAATATAAAATACAAAATACAAAATACAAAAAAAAAAATACAGAAAAGGTTGCGGTGAGCTGAGATCCCGCCATTGCACTCCAGCCTGGGCAACAAGAGCGAAACTCCATCTCAAAAAATAAAATAAAATAAAATAAAAAGTAGGCCTTGCACTATATTCGGTTTTGTTGTTGTTTTGGAGACAGGGTCTTACTCTGTCACCCAGGCTGGAGTGCAGTGGTGCCATCTCGGCTCACTGCAGCCTCAACGTCCCAGGCTCAAGTGATTCTCTTGCCTCAGCCTCCCGAGAAGCTAGGACTGTAGGCACTTGCCACCAAGCTTGGCTACTTTTTAAATTTTTTATTTGTAGACATGGGCTTTTGCTGTATTCCCTAAGCTAGACTCAAACTCCTGGGCTCAAGCAATTCTCCCACCTTGGCTTCCCAAAGTGCTGGGATTACAGGTGTGAGTCACTGTGCCTGGCCCTTGCACCATATTCTAAGAAGCATTCTTGGCTCCATAATTCGGAGCAGCACTGTCATGAGCATTACAAATAAGACTACTGTGAGGCAGGCAGGGACTGAATTTTACATATTATTGAATTTTAATTAACAGAAATCATTAGCTATAATATTGGACAGCACAATTCTGGGTTTCATATTTCTAGTTTCTGCAGCCTCTGAGCAACTGAGCTGTTTTGATTTTTGATTACTATCTCAACAATTTTTCTTTCTTTTTTTTTTTTTTTTGAGATGGAGTCTCACACTGTCGCCTGGGTTGGAGTGCAATGGCAGATCTCAGCTCACTGCAACCTCTGCCTCCCGGATTCAAATGATTCTCCTGCCTCAGCCTCCCGAGTAGCTGGGATTATAGGTGCCCACCAGGCCCAGCTAACTTTTTTTTTTTTTTTTTTGTATTTTTGAGTAGAGACAGGGTTTCACTATGTTGGCCAGACTGGTCTTGAACTCCTGACTTTGTGATTTACCCGTCTTGGCCTCCCAAAGTGCTGGGATTACAGGTGTGAGCCACCATGCCCAGCCTATCTCAGCAATTTTTTTTTTTTTTTTTTAAGACAGCGTTTCACTCTTGTTGCCCAGGTTGGAATGTAATGGTGCAGGCTTGGCTCACTGCAACCTCCACCTCCTGGGTTCAGGTGATTCTCCTGACTCAGCCTCCCAAGTAGCTGGGATTATAGGCACACGCCACAATTTTGTATTTCTAGTAGAGACAGGGTTTCACCATTTGGCTAGAGTGATCTCGAACTCCTGACCTCAGGGGATCCGCCTGCCTCAGCCTCCCAAACTACTGGGATTACAGGCGTGAGCCACTGCACCTGGCCAAAACAAGGCATTCTCTAACATAACCTCAGTAAAATGATCAAAAGCAGGAAATCTGCAAACCTAATTAGATTTCCCCATTGTCACACCGCTGACCTTTATAGCAAAAGAAAATCCCAGATCACTTGTTGTTTCCAGTTGTCTTTTTAGTTTCTTTCACTGAGATCAATTTCTGAGCCTTTTTATCTTTTGTGACCTTGACGTTTTAACAAAGTGTAGGTCAGTTATTAGGCAGAATGGCTTTCAACTTGGGTTTGTCTGCTGTTTCCTTATGATTAGATTCAGGTTGTGCCTTTTTGGCAGGAAGACCCCAGCCTGACATCAATTGGTCCCATTACTGGTGATGTTAATTTTGACCACTTGGTTAAGTGGTATCTGCCAGGTGTCTCTGCTACAAAGTTACTGCTTTCCGATTTGTAATTATTAAGTTTCTTGTGGGGAGGTACTTTGAGATTCTATAAATATCCTGTTATTCATCAGACTTTCACTCTTTCAGGATTCATTCTTGCCTGAATCAATTATTATTCAATGGTTTTTTGTTTTGTTTTGTTTTGTTTTGTTTTTGAGACAGTGTCTCACTCTGTCACCCAGGCTAGGGTGCAGTGGTGTGATCACAGCTCACTACAGCCTCGACCTCCCAGGCCCAAGCAATCCTCCTGCCTCAGTCTCTCAAGTAGCTGGGGCTACAGGTGCAAGCCGCCATGTCTGGCTAATTTTTGTAAAGAAGGGTTGGTTTCGCCATGTTGCCTAGGCTGGTCTCCAATTCTTGGGCTCAAGTAATCCACCTACCTTGGCCTCCCCAAATTATGGGATTATGGGTGTCAGCCACCACACCCAGCCAGCCTCACCGGATATTTTGAAGCAAATCTGAGACCTCAAATAATTTCATTTGTAAATACTCCATTTTTTATCTCTAAAATGTAGCAACACTTTTTTAAAAAATGCTGCAATACCTTTTTTGGGCAGGGCGTGGTGGCTCACTCCTGTAATCCCAACACTTTGGGTGGCTGAGGTGGGCAAATAGCTTGAGCACAGAGGTT